GCAGCACCTGCGGGTTCGAGCGCCCGGAGGCCCGGAGCGCCAGGCCCCATCACTCCCCCTCGAGGCAGCTCCACGCGCCCCCTAGGGATCCCGTCTCCCCAGGGCCCCTGTTCCCCAGAAAGGCATCCAGAACCCCGAAGGCGGGGACGGGGCGGGACTGGTGCGAAGTCTTGCGGGTAGGGCGCTCTAAAACCGCAGCCTCCAGTTTCCCCTTCCTGTTGGAGACATCTTTTCCAGACCCAGGCCTGCAGCGCTTGGGAGGGGGACGGAGGGGACATGGGGTCAGGGTGATGCAAGCGACCTTGCTATCGTTAGCCATACCCGGGACATCCTTTCCATTTCCTGGGGTCAAAACAAACCCAGAAGCTGAGGGGCTACCGCTGTGAGGGACATTGCCTCAGTGTTACTGTCAGTGCCAACCCCGACGGCCCTCTTTCTACCAGAGACCCCTTCTCTAGACTTCCCGCCACCCACAGAAGTTCCCTTTTGTTTGAGGCCTTCCCTCGTCATATGTGCCTCCTACCGCTCCCTGCAGAGTTGCCCCACTTCTGGCGACCAGGTTTCTCTCCCCAGGAAGGGCCCGCTCCTGCCCCGGGGCTGACCACCCTCCCACTCAAGCGTCCTCCTGGGAGGCTTGGAGTTTCCAGCTCGCGGAAGTAACCGAGTCAGTGCCCTGTACAAAACCGTGGGATCCTTGAAACCAAGCTCACTGCCCTTCTAAAGCGAAAAACTTAGGAGCCTCTCTCTACACAAGAGGATTAGTCTCCCTGCAGAACAGTGATTCCACGCGTGCTGTCTCTTAACCTCTGACCCGATGGCAACGTTCTTCTCCATTTCCCACCCAGAGTAGCTGGGTCAGCCTTGCAGACTGGGAGCATCTTCCTTTGTGAACTGGAACAGCTGTCAGCTGCCCTCATTATGGGTGTAGGGCGAAGTGGGACAGGACTACCCTTCATTAGTTAATGCCCCTGGCATGTGGTAGCCACGATCCTACGTGGGAAAGAAGCAAATGATTGTGCAGTTACTGGGAAGACAAGGCTATATAGTGATTTGATTCCTGCCTTCCCCCATAGCCTACAATAGAATCCCAAGATTTGAGATTTTGCAAGAATCCTAATACAGGAGAATATTACCTGATGGCTTTGATACAGGGCACCTAGTAATCCCAATAAGCGAAAATAATCCAAACAAGGGAAATAGAACTTTTAACCTGCTAGATATCCGCAATACGAGTTTGTGTTTTCTAAATCAAGGAACAAAGGAGATTAAGAACAAAGAAAAAAAAATTTTTTTTTTTGAGACAAGACCTCTCTATGTAGTCGAGATTGACCTGGAACTCACTATGTAGCCCGGGCTGGTCTCGAACTCACAGCGATTCTCCTGCCTCAGTATCCTGAGTGCTGGGATTACAGGCATGCACCACCATGCCCAGCTAAGGAATATTTATTGAAGGAGCGACAGCTCCTGCCTGGCAAGGACAGGAGGAGACACCCAGGAAGTTGCCAGGCTTGCCCAGGACCCCATTTCCCAGGGCACTTTTAATGGAGTAGTCTTGAGGTAAGGTGGGTACAAGAGTGGGACAACCCTATAGTCAGCTAATAAGATCTAATGGAAATTCACAAGAGGTGGGACAAAACCATGATTCACCAATAAAATATTACAAGTACGGTCACTCAGGTAATATTGATTAAATGGGGATCAAATAGGAAGACAAGTCACAGTAATAAGCATACACAGAATGAACAAGGAATTTCTAGAAAGGAAGTAGGTTAGGGAGATTTTAGTCCCTACTTGAAATGATTGAGGCCCATTTAAAATATCAATCACTGCTATTTATCACTAGGGGAAGTAGGTAAGTGTAGTATTTTTTCCTTTTTTTTTTTTTTTTGTTTTTTTTTTTTTTTTTTTTTTTTTTTTTTTTTTTGGTATGGGGAAGAACTCAGGACCTCGAACTAGGCTTGTGGGCACTGTGCCTCAGAGCTAAATCCCAGGCCCTCCTTTTTCCTTTTTTATACTGCTGATCATCAGTGAATGTATCTCGTTTGTCTTTTGTATTGACTCCTCCCAGCCCTGTCCAACTGCCTACAAGGTATCTAATTGACTTAGCTGCCTACAATTGTTATATTATCAGAGGTTTATCATCGTTTACCATTGTTTGTGTACACCATTACAAAAACCTACATTTGCTGCACAAGGTGGCACACACTTGTAATCCCAGCACTAGGGCAAGAATATCACAAGTTTGAGCCTAGTCTGGATGACTTAGTCCCGGTCCCAAAATAAAAAAAATAAGTAAAGAATTGGGAACGTAGGTTGATGCGGCTTCAAGCCCTAGCATTGGAAAATGGAAATCAAACACTGCCAGGCATTGTGGTGCACGCCTGTAATCCCAGCACAGAGGAGGCTGGGGCAGGAGGATTGCCACAAGTCTGGGGTCTACTTGAGCTACATGGTGAGTTCAGGGCCGCATGAACTACATAACAATATCCTGTCTCAAAAGACAAACAATATTTATCAGGTACTGAGAATGGCCAAACCCTGTTCACAAGCTCATCCCACACATCACCCAAAATAAGCAAATGAACAAAGAAGTAGGCACTAGTTTTTATTCCAACCCTACAGATGGCCCTGCAGGCCCTGCAGCAGCTAAATGCTGTGGGGATTGCAGACCAAGTATGCCAACTTCTTTGCAGCTTTATGATTTTTTTTTTTTTTTTTTTTTTTTTGGTACAGGGGATCAAACTCTGGCCCTTGTGCTTTTGAGGCAGGCATTGAGAACTACTGATCCAAATCCCTGGCCCAAGGGCTTTATGATTCTTGAAATTCTGACTTCCCCTAGAAGTTCCACTCTCTCCTCAAATTCAATTTATCTGAAACAAAAATTTATTTTCCAGTGGAGAGCAGCACTGCGTGTGATGTCTGCCCCTACAGTTTAAAGATGGTTTGGCTCATGTTGAATTTTTTTCCCCTTTGGGGCTGGGGTTGAACCCAGGGCTTTTTCTATGAGCTACATCCCCAGCCTTTTTTTTTTTACTGCTTATTTTGAAACAAGACCTTGTAACTCACCACACTGCCCAGGCTGGGCCAGAACTTACAGCCTTTCTGCCTTTTGCACAAGGATAGGCATGGCATGGCCCTGGTGGCTGAGTCGGGAGGCGGGGCCCTGGAGAGGGATTAGGTCATTAAGAGGGATTAATGCCTTTCTCCTGGGCTAGATTGATTGTAGAAGGACTAAGCCTGGTTGTCATGAGAGCCAGTGTTGCCAGGTGTGTCACCCTTCCTGTGCCCACCTCCACTTGCCCTTTCACTTTTTGGCCATTGTTACGACTCTGTGTGAGACCCACCCCCGATTCAGGTGTCAAATCTTGGACTTCTTTGTTGTTCGTTTCCTTTAGTACAAGGTCTTGCTGTGTAGTCTAGGCTGGCCTTGAACTCACTATGTAGCCTACATTGCCCTCGAACTCCCGGCAATCCGCCTGCCTCAGCCTTCTGAGTTCTGGAATTACAGGCGTGCACCACCATGCCTGGCCAAATTTTATACTTCCAACTTTGGAACCATGAACTAAATAAACCTTTTTCCTTTGTAAATAACTTAGTCTCAAGTATTCCATTAAGTAATGTTGTGCCCAGATCGCGATATCCCCAGAGACCACCAAGGAGTTGAGTCTGATGCACTCACACGAGGAGTTTATTGCAAGCTCAAGCCTGGACTCTCAGACCTCACCAACACCACGGTTCCATACCAAGAGCCCCAAACCCGATTTCAAACTGGTTTTTTATCAGCAAAGAAGCAGAGCTAGCGGCTTTTTAAGTGAATTAGTACTTGATTGGTCAACATTTTGTAAATGCAGGAGTGTTTTTATTCTATTGGCCAGGGCCAGATGTCCCTCTCTGTCCTGACCACAAGTTCCTGCAAGATTAACAGAAAAGAACATCTGGTGACCACTTATGGGAAACAGTCCTGGGTTTTCCCAAGAACTGGGTCAAAAGGGCACTTTGGGGTTTCTCCAGTAACTGGGTGGTGGTCTGATCACAAAATGGAGTCAGTTTGGTCTCCAGAGTAACAGAAAATGGACTATGAAAGCTACTCTTCCTTCCAGGTTGTTGACAGGTACAGCCAACCACTAGTGCTCAGGGAAGTGTCTGCCCTGTGCTACGGGTGCTGAGAGGTCTCGTAGAGACGTGAGAGACAAGGTTGGACTGCATGTGGTCAGGCTCTGGGCTCTGGATCTATACTCCTGTGTTTAATGTTTTTATCTGTAACTTATTCTTTGCAGCTTTAGGCAAATCATTGATCC